TGCTTTTAATACAAAGCTTTCCAGCATCTTGTGTTCCAGTATACCAGATTAATTTAAACCATTTCAACAATACAATTATATGGTCTCATTTCTTTGTTCATTTGTACCCAATTGAAGGGGGTATTAAGAGAAATTCAGTAGCAGCTTAACATAATTTCCTCTGCAATCAACAGTAAGACACTGAAATACTGCAGTTTAAAGAAAAGAAAGGGATTACTGAACAAATTCCTACATATATACATATACATAAATAATGTATTTGATATATACATACGTATATCTGAGTTGGTTTTATATGACTTCAGTAACCTCACAAAAACTATTTTCACTGTGATCAAAGCTGAATTTAAACAAAGTTGCCCTATTCAGTCTATTTCTACTCCATCTCAGATTTAGCTTCTCCTTGATGTAATTGGTATCTTTTGGCAATCATTTCTGTAGATCAGGTTGAAAACAGCCAGGTCAGCCAATATCATGGTCTTAAAATTTATCCTAGAAGTGTGAAAATGAGGTATTTCAAAGAGAAGATGTTGCTTTCAAGAATTCCCTTCTTTGACTTACCTTGGGGAAGCCTAGATTTCTGCTTCTATAGATAGGTTGTACAAGCCTCTCTCTCTTTACACTCCAGACAGAGTTAAGTGGCTTTCTATAGATTTCAAGTATGTGATTAGAAACTCATAGATTTATGGATTTTGAGGCCAGAGAGGTTGTTTTATTAATCTAGTCCACTCTAAATGCATAGCATGGATCAGGAAACCACTTTCAAGTGCTTTCTGCTGCAAGACCAGCGGTCAATGCTGAACTAAGATCTAGCATTTAGAAACCACAGAGCAGTTTAATGCAAAGCTTAATTTTCTTTCTTTCAGGGAAAAAAACTCATCAGAACTCTTGATTGCTTGTTCCAATTAATAACTTCCTCCAGTGCTCAAACAGTCTGAACATTTCTACTTTCAATCTGTCTACCTGCAGCTTCCAAGTATTAGTTTCCAACAAGCTTTCTGCCCCCAAGGCAGAAGTTATCCTCAATTATCAAACTCCTATTCTCCTTATCAGTATTTACAAACCATGACTAAGTTCTCTCTTAACCTTCAAATTGATAAACTAGGTAGACTGAGTCCTCTGAGTCTCTCATTAAGCATAAGCTCTGATTGTTTACTTATTCCCTCAGATCTTTTCTGAACTGTTGCCTATTTATAAAACATTTTCCTTGAAGAATGGACACCTTGACCAGACATGCTATACTTGCAGCAGTTTTTGTAACAAAACAGTGACAGTTATGCATGACTTCCCATAGCAAACGGAGGAAAGACAAAGTAAAAAGAATTCACAGAATGGTAAGAAAAGAGAAATAAAAGCGGTTAAAAAGGAGGCAAAAATAACTGACAGCAGAAGGAAATAAAGTCCAATATGGTGCAAAGTAGTACCTATCTACACAAGTGCTTTACTAGTTATCTTGTCTGCTCTAAGAAGCTGACAAATGAACCTGCTACTCCTCCCTCTATTCAACTGCTTCAGGCAATTAGTGATTTCTGATGCTGATGGTTGCATGATCCTCTCTGACTGAAAAGCCAGTTTTGGAAGTAGAGCTCATCAGACCCAAAAGGCTCTAAAACAACCAACCCCCAGCACCCTCCTTCCAAGCCAGCTCCACAAGAGAAGTAAGAAAGGACTTTGTTTTCTTCCCATCCCCCAGCCTTGAAATACCTGCCTGGCTTCAAGGCTGGCACTGAAGGATTCAGTCAGAGTAAACAAAAGGCTCATATGCACAAAGCACACATATGGAGCCCTGGCCTTCAGTCATCAAGCCTGGGACATCTGTGTCTTTCTCAGGATGTCTGCATGTTCAAATAATTAGACCAAGGCCAGCTGTCCCCTTCTTGCTCTTCACCCTTTATGCTCCCATTGCTTTTACTATCACTGCCTTTCCAAAGATTGTCTGACAGACCAGCAAAAGATAATTGATTTCTTTCTGCTTATTCTTTGGATGGAGGGAGTAGCAGAGAACTGGTGAGGTGGTGAAGAGGAAAGACTCTTTGACTCCTCCTTCCCAGACTTCTGCACATTTCCAAGCAGGCTTTGGCCACATCAGAGGAAAGACTGAGTTGAACTCTCACATTCAGATGTTAAGAACTCCAAATGCTCGTGCTGGTACTTAAAACGCAACCAACAGCAGGGAGCCTGCATGCTCTATGAGCAGTTAGCTCGTGTATTCTGGGCCCAACTTCCTTCTCTCCTAGAGCAGTAGGAGTAGTTCAGTGAAATTAATGAGCCCTTCGTAATCTCAAGACACTCCCTGTAATCCACTCATTTCTGAGGCCTTTCTACCAATTTGTGTGAGAGCATGCTAAAGCACTCTTGGGAGGCAGGTCTCCAGAGCAGCAGGCTTACCCAAAGTACAGCTGAAGAAACCCAGCCCAAGTATTTACAGTTCTGTGAAAGCAACAGTGAGAACAGAACCAGGACTTCTGTTTTCATCTGTACAATCTGTAGTTCTGCCCCAAAACAGCACTCTTAAGCAGACCCCAGCTGGAGCCGGGAAGGAAACACTCCTCAGCCTCAATGAACGAGCCAGGACACACTGACGCAGACAGCCTGCATGTGCAGCAAGCAGCCTCATCCTTTGAGAGGGCTGCAAGCACACGGATGAGCCATTTACTGCAGCCTGTGCTGCAGCCTGCCTGCCCATGTATCATCTCCATAGCAGCAGTTCTGTTAATTGAGACCAGCTGCTTCAACTCCAAATTCTTCTCTCCAGAAATATTGATACTACTACGTTATGATTAGAAAGCACTTTACCAAATGCCTCTCAATTTTGCACAGCTCAGATGAAGAGCAGCTGCAGAAAGAAGGGACAGTTCCCTGACTGTACAGAATAAAACAAATGCTCACTGCAAAATCACTGGAGAAATGAAGGCTGTATGAAGTAAGTCAAAATAATGATGGCAGGAGAAAGCAGTCTGCTGCATGTGCTCATGCCTGTCATTTTTGATGTTGAAAGGACTGTGAGCAGACTTCTTCCTTATGCTCTAGGATAAATGGCCACAGCACTGCAGTTTTACAGCTTCATGTGGCAGGTGTGCATATTTGTCAGATCCAGTTTTTCTGTCCAAGGACAGATTAAAGCAAAACCCATCAATCTGGGCCTGGCTTGGAATTGCTGCTGTGGTGTTGATTCTGCTCCAGGGCCTGTTCTAAACAGCCTGCTGGCAAAGAGAGTCACTGAAACCAATAAACTAATGGGAAGATTTGTGAAGTAGGAATGCCACCACACCACCATGACTTGGCTTTGTTGCTAACTGTCTCCCCGTGGCTGCTGACTCCATGCAGCAGGCTGTCAGCTGGCTGCTTGGCAATGCTCACACTGGGATTGCCGAAAGCTGAAAGCATTTTTCCCCTGTCAGCCAGGCTGGATTACGCTGGCTAGGAGTACAGTCAATTCCAAATTCACTTAGAAGTCCCAAGCCCTGTCTCTGACCAACAGACACAGGATATTCCTGAAAAGACATCTGGTTACCGTGTTTATGCAAGAACTGGGCTAACCACTTCACTCCCATCTGTTGTTTCAGCCTCCTGAGTACAGAGAACAGAATCCTTGAAAGAGAAAATCTGGCCATGAATGGTCTGAAATGAGAATCATGATACGAGGCCTGGCTTCCTCCTGAGAAGGATGTTGTACAATTTTACAGAAAACATGGCACTCTTCAGCACGCGGCTGTGTAAACAAGGGCCTAACACATTACTTCATTACGCAGATTTTCTACTACAACTGAGGTAATACAACAAAACAAAAGCAGAGAGATCACTTTGCTATGCTACGTGATTTGCCTCCTACTCTGAATATCAACGGGGCAAATAAAATCTTTTATAACGATAACAGACAGAGAGTCTCTCAGCCACCATCACACTCATGGTTTTTTAAAAGTATTCTTACTGTGTTACTCCAGAAAATATTCAGTTTTTAGAGTCTCACTTAGATTTTACCATTTACACACTTTGTTCATTTTCACTGTGTTCCACTCATCTAAGAGAATTTTTCTCTTCCACTGTTAGATGCAATTTTCTTACCTATTTCACTTCCTAATTTCTGCTCTATACCAGAAGACTGCTTTACTCTACAGTACTGCAGGAGACAGAATACTTCAATGGAATTCCAGAAAGGTAAGTCTGAGCACATTACAGTTGAATATGAACTTTACACTAACATTCATTGACTGTATATTCCTTTAATCTCCATTTTCTTTCTGTTCCATAAGTTGCCATACTTACTGGTGACAAAGCAGCAGGGAAAGATCTTTGCTGCGTGTGCTAGCCGGGAAGTTACCTTGATTTTGTGTGCAGATCCATTAGCACATTTTGCAGGTGACAACTTAATGGAATTCTGTTGATTGCAGAAGTTGTGCTCCCCCACCCAAGCTGAATTTAGCTTTGCTAGTCACCAAATCACATGAATAAATTCTTGTTTTGTTTTGTTTTTTAATTTTTAGACTTCCAAGATCTGTCAAGTGACACTCGCATAAGGAGATGCATATCACAGGATTTGGTAAAAGTGAACAAAGCTGTTGTGAACACTACTTCATTGGGACCATTGGAACTCCTTGATTGTTTCTAATAACACAGCTCTGAGGATTATTAACAGAATTGCAACAGCTTAAAGCACTCATGGATCTTGGTGCATCAGATAAGGAACATATGCAGCAGGAGTGAGCAGGAGGTGCATTCAAACAACAGTTTTGCCAACCTCACATAAAGCTCTTCTTAATAACACGTAAAAGCCTCAGTCCACAACATACCACAACTACTGTGCACTGCTCCTGCAGGAAAATTATGATGCATTTCAGCTGCCCTAGCCTCCCCCATACCTGAATTATTTTTATTATGCTCCACATAATTCTAGTACTGACAAGGATGTTTGTTAAACATAATTAAAGATATTAATTTTGCATGGAACAAAAGACACAGAGCCAACAACTTATTTTTTGTTAAATCTATTAGAAAATTACCTTCATTAGCACCGACTCGCTGAGCTTCTCTCTGTTGACAATTTTTATCGCAACCTTCTGACATGTGACACAGTGAACCCCCAGCTTCACAAGCCCTATAGGAGAAACAGAGCAAAACAGAAAAAAAGAACTGGTTAGAGCTATCCACAGTTGAGACTTTTCCTAATAATACATTACTCAGTAAGTTGGCAACTTATATTCAAACAAATTTCCATTAGACTCTCCCCCTACCAGATGAAGTCTTGTGAGTAATGAAGACTCTAAAGCCCACACTGTGACCACTTGGCATCCTCAATTCTACTGCAGTTTCAACCACCAAAGCTGATTTTTGTTGAAATACATTCCAGCTCTCAACCATTCAAAGACTGTTTACCAGTACAAAGTAAAATTCTGCCAGTTTAACTGCAGTAGGTTTGGCAACATCTGGAATCACTGAAAGCTCAGAAAGTGACAGAACAAGATGGTCAAGTGTGTGCAGTGTGCACACTGCCACTACATTAGTTTTAGCCCTTCCCAAACCTTCCAGAGTCACAATAAAAAAGCACTTCACTTGAGTTTTCTCCTGCTGTTTTGACTTACTGTGTTGCATGAAGTGCATGCTGTGCTCAATACCACAGAGGAATGGAGGAACAAAAGTAAATGGTGATCAACACTAAGTTCTTCTTACTTATTAATATTTACTATATCCTTGTTCACATCTATATTCTCAAACAACTTAGTGGTGTAGATGAATGGCTGTATTTGGAAAAAGTTATGAGTATTCCCATCACGAAGCCAGATCAGAATGTCTGAGTTATCAAAAACTATGGAGTAAAACTCTAAGAATGGAAAAAAAGAGGTAAGTAACAAAATATTACTGCCTGCAGAACTTTGATCTGAATCCCGATTCACATAAAAGTACATCAAGAGATCCCTCATGAGCAAGTTAAACATGGTCTCCCGAGCTCCCAAATCACCTTCATCAAAACACTTCTACCCTGAAAACCATTACTTTGTAAGCCTATTCAAGTGAGATGTTTTACTTCAGCTCTTACTCTTGTCATACATGGTCATGCAGCACCACACCTAATAGGCTGGATTCAGTCCACTCCACAATGTGCCAAACTGTCATTTAATTTAATTCAGTTAAAACTCAAGGGAGAAATGGCACCTCGCTGGTGTCAGTAAGATCTGCTGGGCTTCACAGAGCATTTATGAGCAATGATGTTGCACAGAAAGAAAAAGTTCAGCTTGGCTTGCAGCTCCTAGGCTGGGTGGCATTAAGATCCTGACTTCATTCTCTGTCCCAAATGCCAAAGCTAAAGACATTGCTTTATCTGTAAAGTGCACACAACAGATCTGCAGCCCAGAGAAACAACAACCATAGGACTCCATACTTTGAGGGATTAAATATGTAGACCACTACCTTACTTTAAACTGTCCCCAGAGATTTGGAGTTTCATCAGCGGCTCCAGCCATCTTCTACACACACTTGTTCATCTTTTTGCTTCAGTTAATCACTGATGCTGAACCATTAACCACAGGTTGTTATGCCAAGGAATAACTTTCCAATTTACTTCCCGTCCTCTCTTTTGTTATGTTGTGCTCAAGTTTTCTGGATATTTCCACTCATGTAATTTTCTGCTCTTAGTTGCTTAAATGCTGACATCCTCATCTTCTGCCACTGTATGAACAAGTATTAGGAATTAAGGACACAGCACACTGACAAACCCATTTGAAGCTGTGTATGGCAACAGCCTTTCTCCTCTGCCTGAAGCAACAGATGAGCACAGCTGGGGAAAGATGCTGTGATATCCAGCCAATCTTCACCATTACAGCTGAATTTTGTCTACTCAATATATGTATGACATCATCCTTAGCACCACAGGCTCTGTGCTCACCGCTCAGAGCAGTTGCAGCCTCCCTTCTGCAGCTTTGCTTTGGCTTTGCCCCATTTGGGCATTTACTGTTGGCACCCCTCTATTGTGAGCTCACTGTGCTTCAGTCCATGCCCATTCCTTTGTTCTGCTTCCAAAACAAACCACACTTTCTGCATAACTCCAAATTCCCTGCCCTTATGTTTCTAATTCTTTGCAGAACTTGTAGCTGAGCCCTTCACATCCAGACTCTAGGATACATGACTCAGTGCTGCTACAGTCATTCTTTTGAGAGGTCACTGAAGGTGACAAACAGCTGCTTCCTGTAACTGGTCCCCCAGCCTTAAGAAAGAGTACAGGCTTTTGGAATACCACACTTCAAGATTTGGTTCTAAATATTCCTCTTCCCAAATCAAGACTCGTGTCTCACTGCACTCAGCTATCTGTAGCCCTTTTTACCCTTGCCCTCACTGAAGCATTTTGTCATTGAGTCACAGCTACCACAAACCTCTGAGATACTATCAAACCACAGAGGCAATCTTCACAGTGTCATCTGCCTTTCTTGCTACTAACCCACCACAGAAACTCAAAAATAAGATCAAACCATTCTGTTTACTCTGATAACACGCTTCGTCAACAATTAGAAGACTTTAGACACCTTATAAAACCATACCGATACTGTCCCAATGATTTTACATTGATTTAATTTCATCAGCCTTGAGAGGTCATTCCTGATTTACAGCAGGATGCCAAAGAACAGAATGAGAGAATGCACGATCTAATGTATTTTTCCTTTCTTTCCTTATTTCTGTTAAAAATTGAGAGAAAAAAATACACTATCACTGCTGCCTGCTTTGTAGGTAAGGAATTCTAAGACAACCCTTCAAACAGTCCAAGACAGCACTTTTCAGTATCCAAAATCCAGTGAATGTAATTTCAGGATAAAAATAAAACCTGTCACTCTGCTTGTGCCTCCCTGCTTACCTCTTCCTTTTGACATATGCATGCCAATGGAGCCAAATAAAAACCTTTCACTAGACCACCTTATACACAGGCTACGGTCCTCCTGCTACTAAGAGTAAACCTTAAATGAGCTTGGGCAAGGAAGAATTTGTGCCCTGGACTTCAGTTCTGGTCCTGGCAGTTCCAGTCTACTGAGATACTGCTCACAGATGAGTTATGGTCATTTGAACTCCTGTGGGCTTCTGATGCTTAGGATGCCCTTTTACTGGCATATATAACATCAAATGTTGAGGACATATATGTATGAGTGTAATGACATATCTTTGAAGAGTCTAAGAAGCAACTACATAAGTTGAGCTACATAATTGCTGAGCTGTTGTTGAAATGCAAAAAAAAAGCAATGCAAGCTCAGAGACAAGTGGTTGAGCTGCTGTTTGCAGGGCTGATGATTTTTCAGTTCTCCTTTGGCTGCATACATGGCTGCTAATGAGTACCTCAAGTCTATAGCAAACTTCCCATACAGATGTGTCAACAGGTGAGGTGTGTACTCACACAGCTTATCTACACGTTTCACCAGCAGAAGTACCTGTGTGGTCCCCTCAGAGAACAACCAAGGCTGCTAGGATGATACTTTGCTTTGGCATGGCTTAAGGCAAGTCTGCCAAGGCAGCGAGCAGGGTGCTTTGTCTTAGGAGCTGTGAACATTGAGCTGCTTCAGACCTTAGCCACTTAACTGCACAAGAAACTGCCTCATAATTTCAGGCTGAGGAGTAAAGAAGAAAAAAAGTACACACTGAAAAGCAAGGAGATGTGTAAGCTAACATTGTCTTTTGATTTATAATTAAAAGCCACAAGCTGAAAACCACTGAGCAACAGGAACTCCAGATGACACAAAGGAAAGATGGCACACAAGGAAGAGCACCAGAGCACAGGGAAGCTTGCAGGCCTGCCACATCTGAGCACAGTGCTGACCTGCTGACAGCCATGCTCATGCTGTTTTTTGCTAGGAAGTCCCACTGTGTGGATGCATAAAGACACACAGAGCTTTCCTGAAAAGGACAGAAGCTTACGTGATAAGAAAGGGAAATATTTAGGCCTGCTATACAGGCGGACAGCCCACTCTGAAGCAGTGAATACAGAATCACTTTTTTACCCAAGAAGTGTATGTTGCAGGGATGAAGACACAAGCTTCCCTTCCACAGATGAGCACACAGCCATCCCCTTGGCAATCAGCACTGTGTCTTCTTAGCCAAGGACAGGATTTCAGAAAAGCCTGATGTAGTTCTGCCTTAGGTTGTGGTGGGAATTTCCTCTAACACATACTAAACAAAACAGAAACAGGTTGGAACTGATGCTATTTCACAGGCATTCCACAGCAGTGTGAATAGCAGCACAAGGGAACACAACTGGGGACAGGGATGCCTTGCTAATGAACCCCATTATGAGACCTAAAACTTGGTTCTTCATTACAGAAAACTGTGATCTGAAAGCAGGAGAGATCTGTTTTTCAATCCTAACAAAATAGAGTTTGCCAAAGATACCAGTCTGAATCCAACCATCATTTTGAGAGAGACTAATAAACCATAAAATAACACCGTTATTTGAATGTAACACTCATGGTATACACTGTGTTAACAAATAACATTCCCACAGTCTTTCAGAAATGTTAAACACAAGTAATTCATTTTTAATCATAAAGCCTGTAACTACTCCAAGAACTGTATTTGCCAGTTTCAATATATGTAATTTTTGCACTGGAAAAAGGCAGCTTTTCATTTTCTTCTGAAATAAAACCACCCCAATGCCCAGCCTGTACTTCTGTCACAGGGAAACAAGGCCCTGATTCCAGACCATTTGCATGGCTCTCGCTGCTTGCTGCTCATTTCACAACAGAGCGCACTGTCAAAGAACTCATCCTGTCCAGTGTTTAAGCAGAAAGCCCTGGTCTGGTTGGTACTATTTTGGCTGGATGCGCAATTAAAGCAATGTCTAGAGAGAAATATTATTCCTAACTGAGTTAGCTAATTGCCAATTAATTCATGTCAATGAATTCCCAGCAAATGTTAATCTGAGCACTGCAGGACACAAACACTTGTGGTTTCCATCAGGGCACAGACTAGTACTGCTAACTATTTGAACTCAAGCAGGAACAAAAATCTTAGTCTGAACAAACCCAAGAACGGTGCTTTTTTAAAGGCTCATTGTGCCTACACAGTTTTTGCATATGAACTTTGTACACATAATCTTTATATACATGTGAGTTAATCCCACAAACT